GCTGTGTTGGGTCTTCCTTTCTGTGCAAGGGCTTTCTCTACTTGCGGCAAGTGGGGGCCACTCTTCATCGCGGTGCGCAGGCCTCTCACTATCGCGGCCTCTCTTGTTGCGGAGCACAGGCTCCATACGCGCAGGCTCAGTAATTGTGGCTCACGGGCCTAGTTGCTCCGCGGCATGTGGGATCTTCCCAGACCAGGGCTCGAACCCGTGTCCCTTGCATTGGCAGGCAGATTCTCAACCACTGCACCACCAGGGAAGCCCATTGATTTCTATTCTTACCATTATTTGTTTCATCCTACTTAGCCCAAGTTTAATTTATTCCTCCTTTTCTAGCTTAAGATGGAAGCTGAGGTCACTGGTTTTAGATCTTTCTTGTTTTATTGTGTAAGTATTTAAAGATATGTTTCCTTCTATGCTTATCTTGAGCTGCTTTTTACTGCAACCAATAGAAAAAGTACACATACTCTAGCACACAACAGGGAAAAAAAAGTTTCACAAAATGATACTTTCCTTTACTATGTATAACGCACTCTGATATTCTCTATTCCATTGTTTAAGAAATGCTGTTCATGACTGACTAAATTGAAGCATAGTTTCGACATTTTTTTTCGACATTTTTTATTTGCAATATATATATTAAGATTGGGTTGCTGATTGTAACCTGATTACAATTTGACAGCTTTTCCTGTTTAAGGAGGTCTATTAAGTTATAGAGTTACAGGCTCAACTCCTGTTGAGTATGTGGAATAGAATGTATTAAATTTTGTCTTAGGGTAAACCTAGCAATTTAGCTAAGATTCTTTCTCATTTCATATAACAATAAATATCATTTTCTATGACATCCCTGATGAGAGTTCCAAGACATTTCAAAGATGTCTTTCATTGTGAGTATATAGACTTAGGTTTTATTTTAGGGTTTATATGATTAAAATATTTTACCCATAATAATGTCCTTACTTAGAGATCAGGGACGTTTATCAGAATTCAAATATTCCCAGTATGTATGTTTTCATTAATCTTCATGGTATCTAATGCAAGTAAGTTACAAAAAATGACAGGAAACCTTTCAGGTTTATGGATAAAGAAGTTAGAATTTTGAAAGTCAAAAGCATGCAATGCCTCTCAAGAAAAAAATCTAATGCTCTCAATGGTGCATCATTACTACAAAAATTGGAGTGGCAATATAATTGGTTAACACTTTTGAAAAGTAACTTAGCAAGAGCTGTAAAAAACAAAACCAAGAAAACCTCTTTGACCTACTTCTGGAATTTCATTTTGATAAAATGATTCAAAACATGGAAAATGCAGGAAATAAGGAATGGAAACACCCTGAATATACCAAAACAGAGCTAAGTAAACCATGGTGTATCCACTTAGAAATATTATGTAGTCATAAAAATCTTGGGAATTCCCTGGCAGTCCAGTGGTTGGGTCTCTGCGCTTTCACTGCCGAGGGCCTGGGTTTGATCCCTGGTTAGGGAACTAAGATCCCACAAGCCGTGCAGCAAAAAAAAAAAACCTTGGTATTTCCCTAGTGGCACAGTGGTTAAGAACCACCTGCCAATGCAGGGAACACGGGTTCGATCCCTGGTCCGGGAAGATCCCACATGCCACGGAGCAACTGAGGCCGTGTGCCACCACTACTGAGCCTGTGCTCTAGAGCCCGCGAGCCACAGCTACTTAGCCTGCACACCACAACTACTGAAGCCCACACGCCTAGAGCTCCACAACAAGAGAAGCCACCTCCTGCGCACCGCAAGGAAGAGTAGCCCCCCGCTCGCTGCAACTAGAGAAAGCCCACGTGTGCCAATGAAGACCCAACGCAGCCAAAAATAAATTTTAAAAAATATATTTTTGAAATCTTTACAAAGGGTGTATAACAGCATAGGAAAACATTCATAAAGTAGAGTGTATATATATAACTATGTAGAGGGTAAAACCTATGCATTAACACTGACATTAACAAAAACATTACCTGGTTTTTCTGTTGCGTTAGAGAAATAAGTAAGTTTTTTCTTATTTTCCAAATTCTATTTAATAGCATATTTATTTTATTTTTTATTTTTATTTATTTTTTTTGCAGTACATGGGCCTCTCACTGTTGTGGCCTCTCCCATTGCGGAGCACAGGCTCCGGACGCGCAGGCTCAGCGGCCATGGCTCACAGGCCCAGCCGCTCCGCGGCATGTGGGATCTTCCCGGACCGGGGCACGAACCTGTGTCCCCTGCATCAGCAGGCAGACTCTCAACCACTGTGCCACCAGGGAAGCCCTGTAAGGTATTTATTGATATTATCTTTATAGTAAATGCCTTTTTGATAAGTACACCTGGCTAATCACCCTCAGCTCCCCAAGTATGCACCAAGATTTATCTTGGCTTGCTGCTGTGACTTGCTTTGTGTCAAAACAATGACAGGCCTACAGTGTATTAAAATTCTTTTTTTTTTTTGGCTGCGTTGGGTCTTCATTGCTGTGCGTGAGCTTTCTCTAGTTGTGGCGAGCTGGGGCTACTCTTCATTGGGGTGCACAGACTTCTCATTGTGGTGGCTTCTCTTGTTGCAGAGCACAGGCTCTAGGTGCATGGGCTTCAGTAGTTGTGGCACGTGGGCTCTAGTGTGCGCAGGCTTCAGTAGTTGCAGTGCACGGGCTTAGTTGCTCCACGGCATGTGGGATCTTCCCAGACCAGGGATCGAACCCATGTCCCCTGCATTGGCAGGTGGATTCTTAACCACTGTGCCACCAGGGAAGTCCCAGTGTATTAAAATTATATTGTGTCACCTTAGGATTTATCAAGCTCACAGCCCGATTGGAGGCAAAGCTGCTGCAATGATTTTTCATACTACAGTTGAAAGAACACTGAATGGACCAAGAAGTAAGAAACACTGGTTCTATTCTCAGTGCAGCACTTTTCTTCAGGCAAGTCATTTAACTCTGTTTCCTAATTCCCAAATTAAAAGGATCAGATTGCTTATGAGAATCTCTAACTGCAGATCATGTACAGAAAGGTCAGACCAGGACAGATGCAGGAATTCAGTGTGGACTGAAGCAAGACTCCAAGAGTTTAGGAAGGCAGGCAGTATGGTTTACAAACTCTCAACTAGAAAAATATAGAGTAAGAACTCAACAATTGGTTGGGTCAAGAACCAAAGATTTTCAAAAATTCTGAGCAAAATTTAGATAAGAAATCTAAGTAATGGCACAGAGCACTAGCAACAGGGCTTGAGTAACCCAGGGATTTTTTTTCACTCTATCCAGGAAAGGACAGAAGTTCATGGTTGGATCTGAGCACATAGAATTTAGGTAGGCACTCCAGGCTAGAATGAGAATATGGAGAAAAGTGCAGTTCCAGTTATGTGACCGTTTCACTAAGAAAATACTGTGATGAAACCCGGAAGGCTCATTTAGTTCTGAGAGTCGAAGTACTTCTCAAATAGCAGTGTCCAATAGAACTTTCTGGAATGATGGAAATGTTCTATATCTGTGATGTTCAATATGGTAGCCACTGGGTACATGAAACTACTGAGTATTGGACATATAGCAAGTGCAACTGAGGAACTGAATTCTTAATTTTATTTCATTTTAATCAATTTAATTTTAAATTTCAATAGCCACATATAGCTACCATATTGAGCAGCACAGCAAAGGTCCAACAGAATCCTGTTGTTCTTTATTAGTCACAAAATACATAATGAAAGAAGAATCCTTTTTTTAAATATGAAGAACGTCACATTTTTCTTTGTAGCCTGTATATTTATATGTATGTATGTATAAAGATTGTGTGTGGTATGGTTCCATAAGAAGCTAAATCAATTCTATGAATTTCACAGAAATTCATGCCCTTCCCAGAGTAAACCTAGATTAACCACTTTCTGGGCTCAACCTGAAAACACATTCACCCAGAATGAACCAGAAACCACCTTGGCCTCCAATGCCCTTCTCAACTATAGTGAGGGACAGCAACTGCAGAGCTGAGCTGACTGCTCTTAGTCCTGCCTTCATCTTAAGCTTAGACCAGATCTGGGCTCTGGGATTTGGAAGACACAGCTATTCTTTCAGTGGTACTCATGATAGAATCAAAGAGCACAGACAAGGATGTTCCTAATTATAGACTGTCTCTGTCTCCCCTAAGTAGTAGAGGCCTGTATAACAGTCAAATTACAGATTTCTAGGGAATTCCCTGGCAGTCCAATGGTTAGGGCTCGGTGCTTTCACTGATGTGGCCCAGGTTCCATCCCTGGTCAGGGAACTAGGATCTCACAGGCCGTGCAGCGCCACAAAAAGAAAAAAAAAAAAAGTTACAGATTTCTCACTGGATTCTAGACCTAGAAATCCAGACACATTCTAATTTATTCCTACCCTGACCCAATGAAGAAAAGTGAGAGATAACCTAATACCAACCAGGTTTACTGGTTATTATACACAAAAGAATGAGCAACTTGCAAGTATTCAACATAAAAAGGGCTCAGTACAGGCTGCCTTCCTTTCACCCTAAGAAGGCATACCAACTCCAGGCAAATAGAGTGGAATCAAACTTCAAGTTTACATAATAGACAAACTCTAAAGAGGGCCCTGCTTTGTTAGGGAAATGGACAAAACTCTCTAAAAGTAAATGGAATGAAAAGAAATTAAAACTGGGATATTGATTCCTGTAATAACATGAACTATTGTTTGTCTATGACATAAGACAGAACAAACATTTAAAATTCAAAAATAAAGTTAATATTTTTCATCTTTATTGAGGTATAATTGACAAAGTTAATATTCTAAAAAGGAAAAAAGTACAGGTAAAGTTGTCAGGTACTAATATTTTTAAACTTATGGCTAAGAGTTTTACCAACACCCTTCAAACCAGAAAAAACAACAAAAATTTAAAGTATAGATTCTTCCAGACACTAAGTCCAAAATTTTTCCCTTCTTCAAATCCTTTAAACCCAAATTATGAGAAATAATTCAGTCTGGCCACAGGGAACATTTCTACAGTGACATAATCAGAACATTTACTTCTTCCATTATTTAACTTATTCATTCCCATCCTAATCAAATTCCAAGAATATAGGAGTAAGCAAGAGGATATAATTTCCCCCAAAGCCTATGACTAATTTACAACACAAGAAACCTAAGCACTGAGGAAGGCCTTGATGGCAGAGGAAATAAGCCACCTTTATTGGCCTCAAGAACAAACTGCAGATCTCTAAGGCAATTTGGGAGAATCTGGATTTATCCAGCAATCAGTCTTCTCCAAAGCTGGGCAGGGAGGAAGTGTGGGAAGCACAGCTTTTCTAAAAGGATGAAAAATGTCACTTGGAGACACTCTGGTTTCCTGAGGAAGGGAAGGAGACACTAAAACACGTTGTTTTGTACATTTTAGATCTTCCTTGTTTTCCTCCATCATTAACTGTTCTATCTCCTCTTTCAAAGATAAATTTGTCTGAAACTCTTGTTTAGGTATCTTAAGGTATTCTTTTTGAGTTATTCTCTGGTCCTTAAACCCCTCTGACTCAGGGCAAATTTGTTTGTTACTGGAATCTTCACTGACTTCTTCCTTTATGGGAGGTAGATGTTGAGGTTCCGCTGTGGTTTGCTTACTCTTAGATTCTTCTTTTAGCAAATTTACATCCTTGTGAGATGTAAAGTTTGGAGCTTTATCTAGCCTAGAATTTTTACAAAGTAAGAAACCTCTTACTTTTCCCTCTTTCCTTGCTGTCTCTGTCATAGACTTCTTTGGATGTAGTACTGTCCTTATTAGGAGTCCCTGAGCATTTACTCTATATTCTTTTGCAGCTCTCTCTCTGCGCTGTCTCTGGAAGTCCTTCAGTTGAAGCAGTTCCTCTGGGAGCTCCATACATGTACGCTAAGAAAAGAAAATGAACACAAGTCTACTATAATTAAACTTCTGAATATGGTCCTTAAAATCACTTCTACTACACTTAGTATTTGGCAAGCAAGGGTCTATTCAAATGTATTCTTATAGCACCCTCTAGTGTCTTCAACTATAGTAGTACTATTTTTCAAGTAATTTAAATATTTTTAATCCAATTTTGTGTGTATGTTGTGCATGTGTGTATATATAAAGATTATACAATGAAAAGTAAGGGTCCATTCCAACCTCGCCCCAACTGCCTTAGCAGGTGCATCCTCTAAAAAGCAGCTTCTTCTGTAGCCTCCAGAGACAGTCTTTGCATATATGATCCCTTACTAAATATTTATCTATTCATTGGATTACATTTTTTAATTTTTATTTTCCCCCAACTTTTTATTTTGATAACTCTCTCTAAAATTATTTTATACAAATGGTTACATAATATTATATATTCTTCTTCTTCTTGATTTTTCCAACTAAAAAAATCTGTCTTGGAGATTTTTCCATATTGGCAATTTTAATGGCTGTATGGATATACCATAGTTTGTTTAACCAAACTCTTGTGGATGGATATTTGGGTTGTCTTCAGTATTTTGTCATTACATAAATGCTACAATAAAGAATATATTAAGAAAATGTCCGCTTTGTTACATGAGGCAAATAATTTTTCCTAGGTTGCTTGCCCTTTGACTTTGTTCACAGTATTTTCACCATGCAAAATTTTTAAAGTCATATTTATTCATCTTTTATGAGTTCTAAGTATTTCTGTGTTGCATAGAAAAGCATTTCCTCATACAACTCAATAGCAAAAAAGCAAATACTCTAATTTAAAACTGAGCAAAGGACCTGAATAGATAATTTTCCAAAGAAGATATTTAGATGGCCAACAGGTACATGAAAAAGTGCTCGAAGTCACAAGTTATCAGGGAAATGCAAATCAAAACCACAATGAGGTGTTACTGACACCTGTTAAGATGGCTATTATCAAAAAGACAGATAACAAGTTTTGGTGAGAATGTGGAGAAAAGGGAACTCATATGCTGTTGATCGGAATGTAAATTGATGCAATTTACATTCCCATGTAAAACAGTGGAAAACAACATGGATGTTCCTCAAAAAATTAAAAATGGAACTGTTATATGGTCCAGCAATCCCACATCTGGGTACATATCTGAAGCATATGAAAACAGGATCGCAAAGAGATACGTACATTCCCTTGTTCACTGCATCATAATTCACAATAGTCACAATATGTAAACAACCTGTGTCTATCAACAAATAAATGGATAAAGATGTGATATATATACATTATACAATACAATATTCTATACAATAGAATATTATTCAGCCATAAAAAAGAAGGCAATCCTGCCATCTGCAACAATATGTTTGAACTTGGAGGGTATTATGCTAAGTGAAATAAGCCAAAGACAAATACTGCACAGTATCACTTATATATGAAATATTAAAAAACAAAAACAAAAATCTGATTTCATAAAAACAGAATAGAATGGGGGTTCCCAGGGGTTGAGGGAGAGGAAAATGGGGAGATGTAGGTCAGAGGGTACAAACTTTCAGTTATAAGAAGAATAAGTTCTTAGGATCTAATGCACAGCATGGTTACTGCAGTTAATAGTTCAGTATTATATATTTGAAAGTTTCTGAGAGTAGATCTTAAGCATTCTCACTACATAAAAAAAAGTTAGCTATGAGGTGATGGATGTTAGTTATCTTGATCTTGGTAATCATTCCACAATGTATATCAAATCATCACAATGTACACTTTAAATATACACAATTAATTTTGTCAACTATTCCTCAGTAAAGTTGGGGGAGGGGACATATTCCCTACTGTGACATAATTTTCTTTTAATACTTTTAAAAAATATTTATTTATTTATTTACTTATTTATTTAGCTGCGCTGGGTCTTAGTTGCAGCACATGGGATCTTCACTGCCACATGTGGGATCTAGTTCCCTGACCAGGGATGGAACCCAGGCCCCCTGCTTTGGGAGTGTGGAGTCTTAGCCACTGGACCACCAGGGAAGTCCCAATCTTTTTTTTTTTTTCACGCGGGCCTCTCACTGTTGTGGCCTCTCCTGTTGCGGAGCACAGGCTCCGGACGCACAGGCTCAGCAGCCATGGCTCACGGGCCCAGCCGCTCCACGGCAGGGGGGATCTTCCCGGACCGGGGCACAAACCCGCGTCCCCTGCATCAGCAGGCGGACTCTCAACCACTGCACCAGGGAAGCCCCTCCAATACTTTTATAATTCTAGTTCTTACATAAATACTTGATCCATGGGATTTATTTTGGTGTAGCAGAAAGAGATAACAATCCAACTCTGATTCTCCTCCCCCACAATGGTTAGTCAATTGCCTGAGGCCATTTACTAAATACTTATCTTTTTTTCATTGATTGGAAATTTTACCTTTATCTCAACCATTACTGATATATATGAGATCTATTTCTGGGTTCTCTATTCCATCCATCTGCCTATACATGTACCTCTCATATTTAGTGTAGACATATAATACATTTTAATATCTGACAGGACTATTCTTATTTATGCTTATTTATCTCTATAAACACTATAATCACAGTTTGCCAAAGTAATTATGGCTTTAGCATTTTCCTTAAAAGAAAGTTAAATTTAAAAGTTAATTTAGGGGGGTTCCCTGGTGGCACAGTGGTTAAGAACCCGCCTGTCAATGCAGGGGACACGGGTTTGAGCCCTGGCCCGGGAAGATCCCACATGCCGTGGAGCAATTAAGCCCGTGAGCCACAACTACTGAGCCTGCACTCTAGAGCCCACAAGCCACAACTACTGAGCCCACGTGCCACAACTACTGAAGCCCCCACACCTACAGCCTGTGCTCCACAACAAGAGAAGCCACCGCAATGAGAAGCCCATGCACCACAACGAAGCGTAGCCCCCGCTTGCTGCAATTAGAGAAAGCCCGCGCACAGCAACAAAGACCCAATGCAACCAAATAAATAAGTTAATTAAATAAAATAAAATATTTTTAAAAAGTTAATTTAGGAATAACTGATTGCCAAAAATACTTAGTGTCCCCATTCATTTAAGTCCTCTTTTACACCATTAATACTTTAACATTTTTTTCATCTCTATATTTCACATTTCTTGTTAGATTTATTTCTAGATAATCTATTTTTTGTTACAATTATAAATGAATTTTTCCCCCATTATATTCTGTAGTTGTGTACAGGGATATAGGAAAGCTATTAAGTTTTATGTTATATTTGTACCCATTTTACTAAACTGCCTTTTTGTTTGTGGCAGTCTTTTTCAACTGATTCTCTTCAGTACTCAGGTATATCATAGGCAAGTCATCATTCCTATTCCTTCTGTTCAATTTTTATAGTTCATCTTTTTTTTTCTAACCTCACTGGCTAATAGCTTCAGAAACTACTAAAGTAGTGGTGATAGTCACCATTTCTGTATATCTCTTGATATTGATATTCCCAATCAAATATTAGGTAGTCTTCTTGCCTGAGATATGTTTTATCATGTTAAAGTACCTATTCCAACTTTAATCAATAATGTATATAGAATATTATCAAATTTTTTCAGCAATAGACAGAACAAAATATTAAAAAGTTAAAAAATTGTCCTTGGCTTTACAATGATAAATGAAAAACATTAAAATTCTCCAATCAAGCAAACCATGAAAGGACTTTTACATTCCTCTTTTCTTGTTAAACAGTGAGAGCAAAATATTAAAAAGTTACAAAATAACTTTTTCAGCGTTTATGAGAAAATCATAAGACTTTCTTGGCCCTAATAAAATACAGAATTTAATATAATATTAAGTATTAATATAATATTAAACCATGCTTGTAACTAGAATCCAGAGACACATTAATAGAAATGTATAATATATCTAAGTGGAGTTTGTACCAAAAATACTATTATTTTATTTAGGATTTTGCATCAGTATTCCTAAATGAGAATTGTTTATAGCAGTAGCCTGTGAACTTTTTATGTAAGGAGTCAAATAGTAAACATTTTAGGCTTTGTAAGCCACAAACATGGCTTTTGCATACTTTTTTTTTTTTTAACAATCCTTTAAGACTATAAAAATTATTCTTACCTTGTGAGCTTTACAAAAATAGGCCATGGGCCAGTTTTGGCCTAATGCAATAGTTTGCCAACAATGTAAGTTTTCTTATATTGTGCTGGCTTCATAAAAATAACTAATGAAATTTACCCTTTCTTTGAAAGATATATTTACTGGAAACATAACTTAATATTGTGAGAAAATTGGTACAATATTTAAGAAAGGAGTTAGGACTTCTAGCACATCAACTTTTAGTTCTATTGAAATGCACATCACCAGTTGCATCATATGAAATAAATGTCAGTGATCATAAAAAATATATATATATTGTAAAAAAGTGCTTAAGGAGCTGAATTAAGCCCAAGCTATAGCCGCTTCAAGAATATTTATCATCAAGTCTGCTGAAAGAAATTTGGTGCAGCTGTGAAGAGTGGGTATCACTGTGGCCCCCATGAGGACATAGAGGTCCTGAAAACACAGCCACAGAGAGTGGCACCTACCTCCATGCCTCCCAGCCAGTCTGCAGACCCTTCTCGGTAGGTGTTTAGGTACCCGTCCACCAGGGTAGTTAGATCAGACATCATTTCATCTAGGAGTACCAAGCGAAGGGGGAGCAGGTAGGTAGCTTCCAGGGCCAAAATTTTTAGCAAACAGGGTGAAAGAGGTCGTGTGAACCATAGTTCTGGGTTTTCCTAGAGACATCAAAACAATTTTCTCTGAATAGTAAGCAAATCTTTAAAGAAAGTAATGGTTTATCTAAGTGCTGCTTAACTTACATCATCATTACTGTCATTTCCTTCAATTATTACCTTCTACTTTCACACTATGGCTAGCCTTCTGAGAATATACACACATACACATACACATACACACACTTATTGTGTGTATACAGTGAGTGTGTGTATGTGATGGGGGAAAGATGTGGGGAGGGAGGGAGGGAAGAAGAGAGAGAGAGAGAGAGATCAGGGCTTCTCATTCAAAACTGGAGGCAGCAGGACTGATTAAATTATATGGCCAAAATTGCAGCCAATACAGTCATGACCTAAGTTTGCATGCAAGGCTATGTGAAGCTGAAGAAAATCTGTCTTACTTTGGGAGAAATAATCAACATGATTTTTGTTCCACTGCCTTAATCCAAATTCCCAATAAAATCCCCACTTGTCCAATTGAAAATTTATTTCAGAGTACTTTTTAATTGATAACCAACAAATCTGGATGCTGGCTTTTTTCCACTTGAGACCACAAACAAACTTTTCCCATTTGGAACAACTGAGATTTTGGCAATGTTCAAACGCTTACACAGCAGCTGTCATTTCTCTATATAATATGCTGATAATCCCACTCACAAGACACTTGAAAATATTAATGTTATATGGGACATACGTTAATACTCACCCGAATCCGTTTTTGTCTCTCTTCCAGAAAGGAGAGATATTTAGGGGCTATTTTAAGGTGTCTGATTAAACTCTCCTGTAAAGTACTAATGCAGTTTGGAAGAAAGCCGCCTGTTTCCATGGAAAATTGAAGGACATCTGCTACCTGTGGCATTAAAAAAAGACAAACAGACCAGTCTGTAGGATATATACAGAGAGCTATCTCATGACAGAAATAGCAGAAATACATTTAGAGAAACATCTTTAAATACCATTTTTCCCAAGGACCCACATGATAGACAATGCCATTAGAAAATTTAAAGTTGTTAGGTTATCTTATTCTGAAAAATTAGAAAAAAAAAGATAAGAAAAAGAAAAAGGATCACCCAACTTTAATGTGTCCCTGTCTATTTTCTTTTCCACTTCTTTTATTTGCCTGCCTTATGATTATTACTCTTTGGTGCCTTCAAGGAATGGGGAAAGGAAGATAAAATTAAAGAATTACTTCTACTTATTAGCAACTCTGGTAAAGTTTTGGTAAGGAAAGCTAATAAAATTAAGAATTGGAATCATTACTTGTCTGTGTGTGGTAGGCTAAATAACAGCCCCCAAATATATCCACATCCTAATTCCTGGACCTGTGAATGTTATCTTAAACAGGCGAAATGGACTTTGCTGCTGTGATTAGTTAAGGATATTGAGATAGGGAGATTAACTTGAATTATCCAGATGGGCCCTAAATGTAATCACAAGTATTGTTATAAGACGAGGCAGAGGGAGGTTTTACTACAGTCAGAAGAGAAGGTGATGTGATGATGAAAGCAGAGATTGGTGCACTGTGAAGACAGAAGGAGCCACAAGCCAAAGAACACAGGTGAAAGCTGAAAAGCAAGGAAACAGACTGTCCTCTCAGAGCCTCCAGAAGAAACCAGCCCTGCTGACACCTTGACTTTCACCCAGTGCAAATTATTTCAGACGTCTGACCTCCAGAACTGTAAGAGAGTAAATTTATGTTTTAAGCCACAAAATTTCTGGTAATTAGTAACAACAGCAATAGGAAACTAATACACTGTGTTAAAGGAAGACAAATTGAAATAATTCTGAATTTCTGCTTCTTGTACTATGAAAATCTGAAAAGAAAAATATGGAAAGATGTGCCAATGTCTTCATTAGACAACACATATGAGGTCTAATCAAGAAGCCTGATGGCCTCAAGGGAACAATGAGCAATTGTCTTACATTTTGGAGTAAGCATAGAAGCAATCTCTATATAGTGAATGCTCTTGAAAGAAGACCCAAAGGAACATGTTAACAAGAGAAGTGGCACAAAGTTCATTACAAGCAGATACATAAAGAGCAAACTTAAACCACATACAATAACATAAAGTTGAACTTTTAGGAATTTCTGTTAAAAAATAATTGGCTAACTCATTATTTTAACCCCTCTCCAAAGGCTCTAGGTTTATATATTCAAGATCTCCCTTTCATGGCATTAACCTAGAAGACTAGAAGAACTTGAAGAATACATAATGAAAACTAGTGGGTTTATGGCTCTCACAGCCAAACCAGAAACCCAGATCTAGTATAATCTGGGAATTTCTCCTTTCTCTAGGTCCTTTAGATCAGAGAAAAACCGCTTATCTTCAGGCTATCTGGGGCCAGTATAGGCTTTGGGGGAACATCTAGGACAACCTGCATCCCTGAGCTAGATGCCAATTAGCCATTAGCCTTAACTGATACATATGTGGTAAAGGCATAGATGTGACTGACTGTCCACCTCACAGTAAGAATTCATGTCAGATTTCCAAATGACCCCAAAATTGTTTGAGTTTCTGAATGCTACAGAGTATGGAGCTTGCTTCTTATCTGAAAATTTCTGGAGCAAAATGAAGGGAAAAAACCCTAAATAATTACAAGTAACTTTTCTCCAGTACTTCTTCAGTGCACCAAATGTTCTCACATATTGTACAAACATTTTACATGAGAAGTGGGCAGGAATGAGGCACACACAAGAAGACTTTCAGTCATTCATCAGACAAGGCCTATTTTCTACAGGAGCTATATACACTGCATTGATTCCAGTGTTTCCCTGCATGTACCTGGGTGTCAAAGACATTATTCAGCAAAATTCCATATTGATGAGAGAGGCAATCAGAAAGCCAACGACAATCATGGATAACCTAAGGAATCAGAAGACAGAGAGAGAGTTATTAGAACCTGGCTGTTATTCTTACTAGCAGATGAATCAACTTACACACTCACCTTCAAAATTCTCTTGTCTTCTAATACCATCTGAAGTCCATTGCTGAAAGCACGACTTCCCAGAAGGAAAATGTCAAATAAGTAAACTCGGCTATTTGTGGCCACCTACAACAGACCATCCAGACACACATAAGAAAGAACTAGGGAAGGGGATCTGAGGATCAAGAAAGGCATGTGAGGGCTTCCCTGGTGGTGCAGTGGTTGAGAGTCCGCCTGCCGATGCAGGGGGCACGGGTTTGTGCCCCGGTCCAGGAAGATGCCACGTGCCACACAGCGGCTAGGCCCGTGAGCCATGGCCACTGAGCCTGCGCGTCCAGAGCCTGTGCTCCGCAACGGGAGAGGCCACAACAGTGAGAGGCCCGCGTATCGCAAAAAAAAAAAAAAAACCCACAAAGAAAGGCATGTGAAAAATATTTAACAGCCTCATCTTTAAAGTAAACAATAGGCACTCATTAATTCTTAGGGAAAACAGGTTTAAATTTACCTTAAGTAAAAAAAACCAAAACACTATCACTGTGATTTTCAAAAGGAAAGAAAGGGACAAGCTAGTAGTTTAGCCTTTAGCTTTTTTTTTCTTTAATGTTTTATGTCTCACCTGTGGCATTCTAAAATGCAGGGATTATAGGTTTAAGGGAAATGAACAATATTTCACTCTCAATAACACCAAAGGCTATTTCTCTGAGTTCCATAATACGCATGATTGTGTTGGGTGTTACATAAAATTACTCATAAGAGAAGATCCCTGTCCTCTAGCAGTTTAAAACAGGCAACAAATACACTGGCACAAATGGTAGGATGTGAAATACTGTCATTTTGATCAATTTTATACAATTATAAGTATTCTAGGTTGTTTCTGATCATAAAAGTCATGGAGGCCGTACAGCTGGATAATCTTCTGAATCAAACAATGAAGGCAAGAACAGATCCAAATAGGTCTAGACAGCCAGCCACAGGACACTCAGATTCCATCTTTGTCATTTCAGGAGCTATTTTTCTGTTGTTGTTTTTTGTTTTTTTTTTTGGCCGCACAGCATATGGGATCTTAGTTCCCTGACCAGGGATCAAACCCGCGCTCCTTGCATTGGAAGTGCGGAGTCTCAACCACTGGACTGCCAGGGAAGTCCAGGAGCTAACTATTGATACAGCTACAATTACCAGGCCTACCAGGCACCCATTCTCAGTTCTTTCACGTTGTTTGTCAAAATTTGACACCTGAAATAGTCAATCCCTGCTTTTCCTCTATCTCTTTAATTGTAAAAATTGAAGAGACACATTATAGAAGTTTGGAAAATAATTCTCTGCTAGACTGTAAACTCTGTGAAAGAAGAGATTATGTCAGATTCACCACTCGTAACTGAAGCAACCACTAGAACAGAGTCAGACACATGGACAGCTGTTATCCATCTCTTCAGTGAATCAGTGCATCATGCCACACAACACCCCCTTCCATTTGTTCATATAAAAAATGTATAACACTCTAATAATATGCATTCAAATCTATATCCCACTTCTTCTTTTCATAAACTTTCAAACATTTTTCTATGCTGCATTTGTCATCGATTTTGACAGCCACATAAGATCTATCAAATGTACTGTAATGTCTGCTACTATTAACTAAGTGGCTTCTGATTTTTCACCACTATAAATGATACCAAAATGAATAGGTTCTCACAGAAATTTTCTTCATGTTTTGAATTATTTAGGAAAGATTCCCAGAAACAGCCCTGAGAAGTAGGCCAAAGGACAAAAAAACCTTTAAGACTCTTAAAAAATATTTGCTACCTTAAAACATAATATTATACCTGAAAATATCTGACCACAGATGAAAGCTAAACATTTAAATAATTTAAAGTTAAAGAAAAGCAGTGGGAGGTACTTCCCTGGTGGCACAGTGGTTAAGAATCCACCTGCCAGTGTGGGGCACACGGGTTCAAGCCCTGGTCCGGGAAGATCCCACACGCCACAGAGCAACTAAGCCCGTATGCCAGAACTACTGAGCCTGTGCTCTAGAGCCTGTGAGCCACAACTACTGAGCCCATGCACCACAACTACTGAATCCCACGTACCTAGAGCCTGTGCTCTGCAACAAGAGAAGCCACCGCAAATGAGAAGCTCACGCACTGCAATGAAGAGTAGCCCCAGCTCACCTCAACTAGAGAAAGCCTGTGCGCAGCAATGAAGACCCAATGCAGCCAAAAAAAAAGAAAAGCAGTGGGAAATACTGACAGAAAACAGATTAGAAAAAACAGAACAAAGAAAGAAACACAAAATGAAAATAAAGGTTTAGGAATTAAAGGTGACAGATACTGAGGACAGTGAGGAGCTGGAAATAGAGGGATAGGCTCGAGGTCTGTATGTGAAGAAGTAAGCCTCCAAGTTATCCCTTCCCACTCCCACGGAGGACAGAAGATATATTCTCTGGATAAATCCAACAAGGGAGGCTCTAGGGTTGGGAATATAAGATATAGAAGAGGGTAGAGGTTTGGTAACAGACTGAAAAATGAGCCTGCACACAATTGTGAGCCTCCAGACCTTTTCCCTTGTAGCTTCCAGCTTGATACCACCAGTCTGTATTGGAACAGGAGGATACAGGGCTCCAGGGAAGATGGCTTCAAGACAAAGATGCAGCACAGATTATCAGGATAGATGTAAGCATGTGAAAAACTACACTGAGGGGAAAATATGGGAAGGCTTTGTCACAAATGAAAGGAAAACAAAGCTAGTAAGATGAGGCAATTATCAATTCTATGAAAAACAAAAAGTTGGGCAAGAATAGAAACAATCTTACTGGACCAACAAGGAGCAATGGTTACATAGCCATAATCACATATAGCCTGAATCCTGTCTTAACCAAACATTGGGATATAACTTCCCCCGCAAAAAACCCAAAACCACTAATTTGAAAACATACATGCACCCCAATGTTCATAGCGGCATTATTTACAATAGCCAAGACATGGAAACTACCTAAGTGTTCATCAGCAGATGAAGGGATGAAGAAGATGTGGTGTATATATACAATGGAATACTACTCATCCATAAAAAATAATGAAATTTTGCCATTTGCAGCAACATGGATGGACTTGGAGGACATTATGCTAAGTGAAATAAGTCAGATAGAGAAAGAAAAATACCGTAGGATATCACTTATATGTGGAATCTAAAAAATACAACAAATGAGTGAATATAACAAAAAAGAAGCCAACTCACAGATATAGAGAACAAACTAGTGGTTACCAGTGGTGGGGGGAATATAGGGGTGAGGCAGTGGGAGGTACAAACTATTGGGTGTAATATAGGCTCAAGGATGTATTGTACAACATGGGGAATACAGCCAACAATTTTGTGATAACGCTAAGTGGAAAGTAACCTTTAAAACTTGTATAAAAAATAAAATCTTTTAAAATTGGGATATAACTAAATTGGGAGGCTCTAGGGAGGTGTGGGTGCTATAAGTGAGCAAAATCTTTGTTTAGCATAATAGAAGTTAATAATTTGTAAAACTGATGAATAAAGAGAGAGCAATAAGCATATTATCAAAAAAGGAAAATAGACACATTTCAACATGTTAAAAGTAGTTGCCTCTGTACTTTTTTGTGTCTGGTTCCCTGGTTTTTGAGGATGCTACCAGAGGACACCCCTTGATGGCATGGCTCTGGTGGCCAGGGTGGCTTGTATTCCTGGGTCTCGTGGGACTCTGGCAATCGGAGGGACAGTTCTTGGCAGGCTACCACCCCAGGGCACTGCACAGACAGTGGACTGGGGCACACTCTCCAGTCTTTCTGTGAAGGAGGGCTCTTCGCTCATCCTGGAGCTTCAGCCTGAGAGGCAGACTTCAGGATTGGTACACATTAGTGGCCTATGGAGTTGCTCTCAAGGAACATAAGCTGTGGACTCCATCTTGATGCTCTCCCTTGCTCTAGCTCACCTATATCACCCAGAAAAGAGCTTTGACACTCATCTGGAGCCCTGATTTCTGCAAATGCTGCTCAGGGGACACCTCCAGATTGCCTGGCTCTGGTGGCCAGCAAGGTTTATGCTTGTGGTCCCACAGGAATGTACATATTTGCATACTTAAAAAACTGATGCCTGAGGGTCTCACTTCCAGTCACCCTGAGTCTATGGGCTGAGGTCCTCCCCTTTAGGACACTGACAGGTCTTGGCACATCCTCAACTACTGGGAGCTATTAAAAATATAATAGGCTGCTTGGACAAGGCCAAGAGGTTTGAAAGACAACCAGGAGCTGAGGCAGGGTTGAATGACAAGGTTCATCTCCTACATGAGGCCACTCCTTCAACACTGGGAGAAGTGGTTGTTTCATCTACTGTATAGAAACCAACACAGAGAGTCAACCTCAGGAAAAAAAACTTAATGAAATGGAGATAAATAATTTACCTGATAAAGAGCTCAAATAATGGTCATAAAGATGCTCACCAAACTGGGGAGAAGAATGGATGAACACAGTGAGCACTTCAACAAAGAGATGGAAATGTAAGAAAGTACTAAATAGAAGTCACAGACCTAAAGAATATAATAATTGAACTGAAAAATACACTAGATGGGTTCAATAGCAGACTAGATAAAGCAGAAGAAAGGATCAGTCAACTCAAAGACAAGGCAGTGGAACTCACCCATTCAGAGCAGCAAAAAGAAAAAACAATGAAAAAAGTAAAGATAGCTTAAGATCTTATGGAACAGCATCACATAGACTAACATTTGCATCATAGGTCTCCTATAAGGAGAATGAAATGAAAAATGTAAATGAAATAATGTTTGTCAAAGTACTTTGTCAACTGTAAAGTGCTGTACACATGTACTTTAACAACGTTGTTACTGGATTCTTAAAAAAACAAAAGCACCACCTCTGAAGAGAGAAATGGAGGGAGGATTTTTCTGTCATCATAAGCCTTTTAGCATTTCTTTTTGCTTTTAATACATAGGGCATGTGATACTTTGATTTAAAAAATTAAACATACAAGTCCAAGGACCTGGTGGGAGAAAACATGCCCATTGATTTGCTTCCAGTCACAAAGGTGATATTTGTAACCAACTGGATGTCCCCTCTGGTATCTAGACAACAAAAGGGGACAAATTAGGAAATAAC